CAACCCAATAGCAATGGCCTCCAACCCAATAGCAATGGCCTCCAACCTAATGGTAATGGCCTCCAACCTAGTAGTAATGGCCTCCAACCCAATAGCAATGGCCTCCAACCTAATAGCAATGGCCTCCAACCCAATAGCAATGGCCTCCAACCTAATAGCGATGGCCTCCAACCTAATAGCACTGGGCTCCACCAAATAGCGATGGCCTCCACCGGATAGCAATTGCCTACAACGTAATGACAATGACCTCCAACCTAATTGCGATGGTCTCCACCTGGATTAACTTGGCTTTGGGGTCAATGTAGAAGTGAACGTTTTGTGCGACAACTCGAGTGAATGCTTTCAAAAGTGTTTCCAACATGTCTGTATTTTCCCTATGTTCTCCTCAGTCCGTCTAGAACAAGTCGGGCACGCTCCCCGCAGATTGACACTGATGGGATCTCTAGTAAAGAACAGCAAGTTACTGAAGAAAGTCGAACGTGACCGTGCTTCAAGGCACCTCAGCCCTTTCCTGGAAGCTGCTCAAGCATTTGGTCGGCCCGGCCAGAAAGATCTCGTTCTCGTAATCTGGTGACACAGAAGCTAAAACTACTGCTGCTTGGCTTAGCTATCCAGCTTGATCCCCCTCCACCGCACCTGACACCCTAAGTCGAAGGAGGGCAGGAAAAAGCCGCTGCAAGCCTGAAGAGGACATGAAGTTGGAATGCTTGCTTCACCAAAAACTCATTTACAAGACTCTTTTGAGCATCATCAGGATGCGAGGATGCATCAGTTACTTGGGACGTGGCCGCTGAACTTCCAGCCCAGCCTTGTTGAAGATACTTTGCTTCACGACACAAGGCGTTGGTCACCAATAAGCCTCCTTCGCAGGTACCCCATCCGATCCCCGTTCATCCGCTTAATCACTTGCTCTATTTGAACATGTCGTCAACTTGACGTCTTTGCATTTCCAGTGTGTGCATGAACTTGAATTCATGAAAGGTCGAGATTGGATCCTTGACATGTAAAATACCTACCCGTCTCCCCCTCCCACTTCCACCTGGCTGCAAACGACGCCTTGCCAAGCGGAATCCCGGCTGGGGCAGCCAACCTCGGCAGAGCGGACAATGCTACTTGCGAGGCATGTCATGGACTTCACTACTCGTTGTCAGGGGAAAAGTAAGCTTGAACTTTGAACAAACATGTTTTATGGTTTTCATTATTATTCTTTCTTCTGACCTTTCACGACTCATCTTTTCTCTGTTATATCACCGCCATAGTAGCAAGGCCTTGAATTTCAGGTCTTTACTGCCACCCTCTTCTTCCCCTCACAAAGCGGCTTCCCAAAAAAAGGGAAGCCTGCTCAAGCCCGTGTCTAGCCACTGGCCTTTGTGCTCCCTTGTTTTCAACATTGTGTATATAAACTTTTATAAGCACTTCATATTGTGGTTCTAAATGAGTCCCTCTGTCTGTGTAATTCGCATTTGGCCCGTCGGGCAACGTGGCTTCTTCACACTCCTGGCATAGCCTGCAAAGACATCGTCTATGATGAGGTCGAACTTGCGCTTGTCCTGCAAATGACAAAGAAGGGCTCAGCATGTCTCAGTCACCCATGGTTCGTGGCATTAGACAGCACAAACATGACTCAGCACTCCTTCACAACCCAAACCTGCCCTCTGCCCTCCCGCCTCCCGCAAGAACTGCAGGGCGTCCATTTCACATACCTCGATCTCTAAAGCGTCAAGGTCAAAGTTCTCTCTGGCCACGCGGAGCACCTCCAGGGAATATGGATGAATATGATAAGTTTTTCAGGACACGTCAGGAATAGGTGACGTACCTTACATGTGCACAAGGTGATGTACCATTAACTGCAACGTGTATGGCCGGGAGTGGAGAACCTGGAACAACCTGCCTTAGCATGTCGTCCAAACACCCTCCTGACATTCTGCTGTAGTCAGACAAGCTCACAAAACAGTTCCACGTAACTCCCGAGTTGGTCCCTTGGAGATCCAACGTGAACCCATCGCAAACCTGACGTGATACAGCAAACCAAGTGTGCCTCTGCGTCCAACTCTACACCAACAATGACTGCCTTCAAAAAAGGCGAAGCTGTGGGATCGAGCAACCAAGACCACATTGAGACGAAGCCTTCAAAATCACAAAGAAATAATGCCTGTAGGCTCTATCTTGGATACTGGTTCGACCAACTAAATAGAAAATAGTCTTGTCCATCTCATCCATGCCATCGACCTGCCTCTGGGCTCAAGTCCTGTATGATCCGTGCGCAGGTGCCGCCACCCAGGCCCAAGATTAGCACCCTAGGCCTTCAGCAGCTTTTGTGAACTAGATGCATCAGGATGTTTCTAAGAAGCTGTTGAAAGTTCAACCATCATTGGCAGTGATATTAAGCCATCGCTATTACACCTCTGAGAATGGTAATTGCAACTGACTGCAACTCATAAGAGCTTGTCGGGTGACGAGCTTTCACATGTCCAATGAGCACCTTGATACTGACAAAGCCAGTATGGGCAGGGCCAGCGCATCCCAAACAAATCTGCCGCGTCTGGCACATGAGCAAGACTGGAATTGCAAGAATGAGATGAAAGCCAAACAAGAATTCATCCTGCAAGGCATTATGTGCCACCTTCCTACGATCGAATTGTAGGAACAAGAAAGTCATATAATTTGGGAGAATACAAACAACTACACCTGGTATATCTACAAATATGCATTATGTCATGTCTTGAACTCTGGTACTAAACTGGCCGTGAAAATGGGGATGCTGCAAGAAAATGATTGCACCTCTCCGAGTAAAGGGAGGCCAATGTCCTGAGCAAACGAAAAGCACCAGGTTTCGCGCAAATCAATCCATTTGGGTCGAAGATGAAGGAAAAAAGACCAAACGTCGAACATTTGACCAAAGCTTCTCATCCACAATGAGCTCCAGTCCATCAGGACCCTCTTGCACTCGAACGCGTCCGATATTCTCCTGCCCCAAAGCGATTAATGTTCTGCCATTTTCGAACCATGTTCTCTCAAGGGCATCACTACTTGGAACGAACAGCTTGTGCCGTCCTGATCGCACGCGCGGGCACACGCCCGTGGCAAACCAGTCCATGTAGGTCGAAGTGGCACGAGTGAAACCATCTGCGTTGGATCCCGTGTTGGAAGATCTTTTGGATCATAAACACAATAATATCGAGTTGCTGAATTTCTGCTCTGGCTGCTGTTAACCATTGTCTGCTGAAACACAATAAACTGTCTGCAGAGTCTGCAGTTGCTGATACAACAGCCTCTTCAAAGGTCTAAACTTCTTAACAAGAGATCGATCCAATGAAGGCCTATATGACCCGATCAAGGCCTCAAATTGTGAGCTGCGCCCTATTCAAAATGGTGAGTCGAGGGTGGAGACCTGCAACATCCTGCAACATGCACATGTGGGTCGCAAGGATCTACCGAAGCCCGACCTGAAATAGCGGGAACTGAAGCTTCCAAGACCGTCCGGCTTGCGACCCACGCGCAGATCAATGAACACCAGATCAAAACGTGGCAGCGGACGACCTTTCAATCTGCCTTTGGCAAGCTCGATTTGGGCATCTAAGCAGGCCAGCATCCCTGGACACCTTGTACTGTGACAACTGTGATTCTCCAGGATTACCGTCCGCCAGGTCCGAGGGATGTTTCCACTGCTTCCAGCTGTTTTGCTGAATTAGCGGTGACCGAGTGAAGCACTTGTGACCCGAACCTCGAAAAATCTCTTTGGCCCACTGGGCTTCATGGCTTCTCTTGCATCGCCCACATCAGTTCTATGAGGACCAGGTGAAGCCTTGCTTCGAAGAGGTCTGAGGTTCCAATCTCAAAATGCCACTGCCGAATGTCTGGGAAATTCAATCCCAACAACTCGGATTTGGTGGCTGGACATTTTGTGTGTCTGAAACCATCCTATCTGGAGCCACAGCCGTTAACAAACCATCGAATCCTGATGTGTCGGAACGCTGTTTGCAGCCAGGTTGCTCAGGATCGGTATCACGGGCCGCCCGCTCAAAAAGTCTCACCTGAACTCAAAGCACGTTGAAAAACTGCTGCCGTATCCGTTTCGGTCAAGTTCAGATTTTCTTTATGTGTGTTCTCGGTGATTCTACAATAGGTATCCACATCCAGACTTCTTTACGCAATTTTCCTATACTTTCCTTGCGATCCTCGATTGCCTGTGCTAGCTTGGGCTGCTCAAATTAAGGATGTCTTTGGCCCGTGGGATGCCGTGGGTCCTCCATAGACCACCGGCATTTAAGAATCAATAAGAAGCTATCTAGTAACAAAGGGCATCGTTACTAGGAGCAAGGACGCTACTAGTATCTCCTGGCACTAGGAAGCTACCAGTTAAGTTTGCCCAAAAATCAACAAAAACATCAAGCGCGAGCTATCCTCCCATCGAGCTTCGAGTCACGGAGCTTCGAAGCTTTGGCTCATCCACAACTCCCATGAGCTGCGTCACCTCGAAGCAGGCTTTCGATTGGATCAACGGTCCATTTGCTACTAGTAGAAATGCCAGGAGCTACTATGGCGTCCTTGCTCGTAGTAGAAATGCCAGGAGCGCCCCTAGTAGCGATGGGTCATTTGGTGACATCTGGTGACTCACATTTTGCCTTGAACATGAGAAAGGTCTGAGAAGTCCGATGAGCAACATAGTGCACTGACAAGCTTCTCTGAATCAGAAATTCCACTGATCTTTCAGGATTTAGGATATATCTGCTTTTTCTATACACTGGGGCAGTAAGTACTTCGATCTGATTCGTGAAACTTTCTCAATGCGCTTAGAACAGCAATATTTTTTTATAGTCCGTTTCACCTCTACCGACTATGCTCTGCCATTCCTCAATGCCATCTCTGACGCGCCTGCCGACCCTTCTTGAGCTGATCCAAGATCGCCTTCATCAGCCCTGTCTCCGCCAAGCTTGCAGCAGTTTCTCTGAAGCAAGGTTCGTGAATTGGGCATATTATTATGGTTCGACATAGCATATCATGAGCACAAAAACGAGTGACTTTCGGATGGTTCACGTTTCCAGCATCAGCAAGGCATCAATAAAAACGAGTGAAGTCCTTGCGTATCAAGTGCACGCCTAGGTAGTTCTGCCTCAAGCTCACGCCATCTGCCTCAAACCTGTCAGTCAGCCCAGCCCGGGACATGTCATCTCTCAAACTCCAGGCACAAAGCCTGTAAGAGTTAGGTTTTGCCAGGCTGTATATATATATATATATTGTGAATTTGTATGCATTGGAACATGCATATCATGATATGAGATGGCGGCCCTCTCATGTGACCATTTTGGCACAAGGGCCCTTGAGTCTGGCTCATCCGAGCCCCC